GGCAGGAAGAGGCAGGATTTGGGAGCAGACTGTAAATCCCTGGTTTACAATCCTGGTTTCCCCCCTGTAAATCCAGAATGCCGTGCACTTTTCCTGGTATTCCCATCAAGTCTGTTGTTACCAGCTCCAGTTGAGCTGTTCCGTGTCTTTTGGGGCTCCTTAACGTTGTGCTGCTGGAAGAGTGGGATCATCCAGGGGTTGCTGAGATCCCTTTCCCATTTTTTAGCATCCAAGAGAATCCTGCGAGGCTTGAAATGAGTAAAATCTTGCTCAGCTTCCATATCTTCCAGCCTGAAGGGAAGTCATCCTGAAAAACCCTATTGGGAATGGGTGAAGTGATCCTTTTTGTGCCTCAGGGTCTGCCTCTGGATCGGGAATCCCGTGGGGAATGTTCCTTCCATCCGTTGCTGCCTCTGGAACAGGGGTTGGAACCTGCCTGTCCTAGATTGGGTATTAGGGAAAAAATCTTCATGGAAAAGCTGTCGAGCAGTGGAAAGGGATTCCCAAGGAATGTTCAGGCTGGGAGAGCTGGGAATGTTCCCCTGGAGAAGGGAAAAATCCAGGGAATGCTCAGAGTGCCTGGAGGGGCTCCAGGAGAGCTGGAGAGGGACTGGGGACAAGGGACAGAGGGACAGGACCAGGGAATGACTCCCACTGGGAAAGGGGAGCTTGGGCTGGGATCTTGGCAAGGAATTCCTGGCTGGGATGGAATTCCTAGATTTTCTGTGGCTGCCCCTGGATCCCTGGCAGTGCCCAAGGCCAGGCTGGATGGGGCTTGGATCCACCTGGGATTGGGAAAGGTGTCGCTGTCTGTGCCTGGAGTGGGATGGGATGATCCTTAAAACCCTTCCATCCCAAACCATTCCATGATTCCATAGTTCTGGACTTGCTAGCCCCAGCACTGATTCATCTTCCAGCTCTGGGATTGCTGCATTCCCTCTCCCATCTCCAGTTTTTCCCCACCCCCAGCAGCCACCGGGACTGGGAATATTCCATTTCCCACTCACGGATGTTGTGACATCGGGCGAGATCCCAAATCCTTGCCACGATCCCGATTTTCCAAGGGCTCTGTTTCTCCCTGGCAGGTGGCTGGTGGGACATGAGGAGAACAAGCAGAAGACAGATGTCCACTACAGATCCATGGGAGGGGAAGGGAATTTCAACTGGAGATTCATCTTTCCCTTCGATTATCTCCCAGCGGAGCAGATGTGCCACGTGGCCAAGAAGGTGAGTGGTCCTGGATGCAATTCCTGCATCCTCATGGGAATTCGGGGGTGAAATGGGAATTTCAGACTTTCACAAGCAGAGCTGTGCAAAGCTCAGCTTTTCCGTGTTGTTGACAGCGATATTTTGGGAATTTTGTTTAAAAATCCACATTTGGAAGCAAAATGGGGTTGGAATTAGAGGTGATTTTTTTTGGAGAGACTCATTCCTCCAGGAAAGATTCATCCAGGCTGGAGCAGGAAAATCATTGGATCAAGTGTGGAAATGCTCTTGGACGACAGGGATATTCCAAAGCTGGAGATGGCGATTCCATGGGAATGGTTTGGTAGGAACCTCTGTTTTTCAGCATGGAATAATGAGCGTCATGCTGTGTAAAAACTTCCCAAAAATGCTAAAAATGGGGAAAGCAAGGAGCTGACTCCAAATTCCTGATGGGAACATGGGTTGGGATGTGCCACTGGAAGAAAAGCTTTGGATTCAAGGAGGTGATTGGATTGGGAGTTGAAGTGGATGGGGATTTTTGGATGGGATTTTGATCTCCTTGTTCCTCCAGCTGTTCCAGGTGTTCCTTGGATCGGTTCATGGGAATTGCACAGATGGAAGGAAACAGGAATGGGGTTGGGATGGGTGCTTGGAATGCAGGGGAAAATTGGATGATGGAAATGATGTGAATTAGGGAAAACTGGACACCAAACCATGGAGGAGATCAATTAATTTAAATTTCTTTCACCTGGAGATTGAAAGGATTAAGAGGAACAATCCAATGGAAATTCCCTATCCATGTTAGGGGGTGGAACTGGATCATCTTTAAGGTCCCTTCCAACCCAAACCATTCCATGATTCTGTGATTTTTGGCTCTTTTTGGCCTGTGGACAACAGGGAAAATCCCGGCTTCCTGTGGCGCCTCCCTGGAGGCTCAAAGTCCTTCATCCACCTCATCCTGATCCTTCATCCCTTGAGGATTTGGGACACCAGCAGGAATTTCCCTATGGAAAGCGTGGTCAGGCCTTGGAAGTGCCCAGGGAGGTTTGGAGTCCCCATCCCTGGAGGTGTCCAAGGAATTCCTGGATGTGGCACTGAGTGCCGAGGGGGGCATCGATCCCAAGTTGAACTTGATGATCCTGGAGGGATTTTCCAACCTCGGTGATCCTATGATCCCTGCTCCCTGCTTTTGCTCAGCCTCAGTATTCATGGGATATGAGGTGCCCAGAGATTCCTGCTTGCAATGGGACCATCCCCAAAACCAACTGTGATCCCCAAAAATCTCCTGTGATCCCCAAAACCCACTGAGATCCCCATCCCATCTTATTTTCCATGGAACCAGCGCCTCGGCTGGGAAGATGCTGAGCAAATCCCCTGTCCCAGACAATTCCCGACTTCCAAAACCCTTCCCGGGCAGTTCCAATGATTGACAGAATCCCAGCTGGGCTCATTTCACGCTTCATATCCCACAAATCCCAAGTACAGGGTGTACTACATCCAATTATCCCTCTTGGAAAAAGCCAAGACCCCCTCCATAAACCCCTTTAAGCAAATCCATCCCGCTGCGCCGATCTGGAATCTTTTCCCACCACATGGCTTCCAACGCTGGATCCGAAAATAAACACCTTGTAAAAGCTCTCTGTAAAGGCCGGAATAATGAAGGAAAAGCCGGGTGGAGCATTCCGGCCCCGGGAATTTTTTGATCTCGCCATGTGCTGTTTGAACTCCGGCTTGGTTCCTGCAGCCGTAAAAATCCCGGCTGGAAAGGCGGGCGCTGGAAGGTGGAATTTCAATCAAGGGTTGGGAGCGACGGTGGGGAACTGGGAGCTGCTCAAAACCACCTGTGCCCAACCAGCCGGGAGGGAAAGAGTTTTCCAGTGGCTCTCCTTTGTTTGCTCCGTGCCGGAGCTCCCAGGAGCGTGGCCAGGTGGATTAGGAATCATGGAATTATGGAATAATTTGGATGGGAAGGGAGCTGAAAGATTAGCCAGTTCCATCCAGGGACAAATTCCACCATCCCAGGGGGATCCAAGCCCAGTGTCCAACCTGGCCTTGGGCACTGCCAGGGATCCAGGGGCAGCCACAGCAAATCTGGGAATTCCAGATGAATCCCAGTCAGGAATTCCTTGCCAAGATCCCAGCCCAAGCTCCCCTTTCCCAGTGGGAGCCATTCCCTGGCTCCTGTCCCTCTGTCCCTTGTCTCCAGTCCCTCTCCAGCTCTCCTGGAGCCCCTCCAGGCACTCTGAGCATTCCCTGGAATTTTCCCTTCCAATTCCAGCAATCCCAACTCTCCCAGCCTTTCCCACAGCAGAGCTGCTCCATCCCTCTGATCATCCTGGTGCATCCTCTGGATTGCTCCAAGAGCTCCAGGTCCTTCCCATGCTGGGAATTCCAGAGCTGGAATTCCTGTAGGTGAGGACTCCGTGGGTCATCCCAACTCAGGTTGCAAATACTCTCTCCAAAAAAAAACAAGGATGCCTCTGGATAAGATGGTGTCCATGTTATTTCGGTCTGATAGGAAAGCCTGAGGTGCTTGGGAGCCTGGAAATCCAGGGAAAACCCAGGGAAATCCATGTGCCACTGTTTTCCTGCTTTTCTGAACCTTCCAACCACTCCAGGATGGTTTTCCATAACATTCCTGGCTGGAATAATGTTATTAAGATTTTTCTTCTCCTTATGAGAGGGGAGTTTCTCCCAATCCAAAATTCAATTTCTCCCAATCCAAAATTCCCAATCCAAAAATCCTAATCCCAAATTTCCAAAATATTTCCATGGAAGGGAATTATTGCCATCTTTAGGACAGCTCTTCAGAAAGCATGGAAATGCTTTTTTTAATGCTTTTCTCAGCATTCCTTTCAAATTTCCATCTTTGTTCCCACTTTCTTTTTGGTGCCATCTTTCTCTTCCAGCCCTGTAAAATTCAAACCACGTTGGTTGCATGGGAAGAGCACATTCCCAGGTTTTTGAGTCCTGCAGGAAAATAGTTCCTGGGATGGAAAATGAGAAAATCATGAAATGATTTAGGATGGAAAAGCCTTCTAACATCACCAGCTCTGCCAAGGCCACCACTCTCCACATCCCCAGGTGCCACATCCAGAGAGATTTTAAATAATTCCAGGGATGGACATTCCATCATTTCCCTGGGCAGCCTCTGCATGGCTGGAAAACCCTTTCCATGAAGGAATTTTCCCTAAAATCTAGCCTAACTTGGAAATTTAAACTTTGGATTCCCAGTTAAGCCTGTTACCGGATGGGTCATGGGACAACCAGAACCATCTGAGGTCACCTGGATGTGGATCCCATTTTCCCAGGCATCCGCCCGGGAAAAAAGCTCAGCTCCCATATCCCACAGGTGCCACAGGGTGGAAAATGCATGGAATTGGTTTTGGAGTGTTCAGCTTCCTGCGCCAATTCCAGCAGCAGCTGGATTCGGCTGCCACATCTGGATCTGGGAAGTTCTTCAGGGTAGGAAAGGGTTTGCCTGGAATGTCGGAGCAAACGGCATTTCCATGGATGTGCCGGGTCTGGTTTTGGGATTCTTACGGACATGGAGGGGCTGGAGCATGTCCAGGGCAGGGAACAGAGCTGGGAAGGGGCTGGAGAATTCCTGAGGGAGATGGGAAAGGGGCTCAGCCCGGAGAAAAGGAGGATCCAGAGGGAACTCCTGGCTCTTCACAACTTCCTGGAATGTTTGAACCAGGTGGGAGCTGGGATCTAATCCCAGGGGAAAACAGGATAAGAGGGAACGGCCTCAGGCTGTGCTAGGGGAGGCTCAGGGTGGACATCAGCAGGAATTTCCTCAGGGAAAGGGTGGTCAGACCCTGGAAGTGCCTGGAGAGGTTTGGAATCAGAATCCCTGGAGGTTTCCAAGGAATTCCTGGTTGTGGCACTCAGTGCCAAGGTGGGGATAGGACACAGCTCGGACTGGATGATCCTGGAGGGATTTTCCAACCTCAGGGATGCTGCGACATCCAAGGGGAGTCTCCTGCATATCCAGGACTCCCAAATTCCTGCAGGATGCACCTGAAATGGGACGTTTTGGGAGCAGACTTCCTCTCCTTCCCAAAAATCAGGTTTCCTGCTTTGTTTTCTGGAGCACATCCACAGTCCAGGAGAAATGCAGCCCTGTCAACACTTTCCTGGGAATCTGAGCCGATTTTTTCCCCACTGCTTTATCCACAAAAACTCATAAAATATCCCAGAGCCTCCCCTCACTTGGAAAACAAACCCCCAAACAATAATTCCAGCCTTTTTTCCCCGTGGCTTGGACAAGGCCGGGATATAAATTTCGCACTCCAGGTTGTTTTTATAGGGAATGTTCGGAGCTCGATTTAATCATGGAAGCGAATTTCACGCTGCCTTGAAAGGGACCCATAAACTTCACTTGGCATTGAATTCCCCCTTCCCAATTCCCTGTTCCTTTTCCTGCCTTTCCAGGGGAGGTCTGGCTGTCCCCAGCTGGACAGGGCTCAAAGCAGGGAGGTTTTGTCTCCAGCAAAGTGATATTTTATGGTGTTTTTCAAAAAAAAAAAAAAAAAAAAAAAATAGGAGAATTTGGAGAGGAGCATTGAATTCCCGCCTGGAAACGCTCAAGCCCCACCTGAATTATCCCTGGAATGCTGGGATGTTGTTCTGAGGGATTGGGATGCAGAAGGTTTTGTTCCCTTTTTCCTTGGACATTGCAGTGGGAAGGATAGAAGGAGGGATCCCAAAGTCTGCAGGGTTTGCCGGCAGTTCCATGGAATCGTGGAATGGTTTGGAATGGGAAGGACCTTAAAGCCCATCTGGGGACACTTCCCACTGTCCCAGGTGGGTCCAAGCCCTGTCCAACCTGGCCTTGGACACTTCCAGGGTTGGGACAGCCACAGCAAATCTGGGAATTCCATCCCAGCTCCTCCCTATCCTCCCAGCCAGGAATTCCTTCCCAATATCCCATCCAACCTTTCCTTCAGCTTCATTGTCCCAAAGGACACGGATCCAGTTGGGATAGGTGGGAGATGATCCCATGAGGTTTTCCTCAGGTTTGGCTCCACGTGGATGGGATGGGGCAATGGGAAATCCCAATCCTTGGGAAGTTGCATCAACCCAAAAGGGACCGTGGGATGCACCTGGAGCATGGACACATCCATGGAATGTGGGAATGATGGGATGGACCTCTGAGCCAGGAATTCACTGGGAAGAAGAGGCACCTGGAGGACATGGAGCTCGTGGAAGTTTCCTTTACAGGGAATATTCCAGCTGGGAAATGAGGTGGTCTCGAGGGTCCCTTCCTGCCCAAACCAGTCCAGAATTCCATATATTTCCCACTTTTCCAAGCCAACCTTAGATGGGTGTCTGGATTTCTCCTGGAAGGGACAATCCGAAGGAGCTGGTGGTGTTCACCTTGGAGATGGATCTTCTGTCACCTAGGAATTTTCCAGTCCCTCCTGAAGTCATCCCATCTTTGTTATCCATGGATCCGTGGCTCCTAGATCCCCATGGATCCCTTCTTTCCCCAGTTTCTGGGAAAGGGAAGAATCAACATCAACTCTTCCCCTTTTTTTAGCAATTTTAATTCAAAACAGCTGGAAAAGCTGGGAGAGATCCCCCTGGATAAACATCCATCCCAACCCACTGCAACCAGCGCAGGGGAGAGAGGGAATTTTCCATGGACTTCCTTTGGGATTTCTCGATTGTCCAATATCTCAAATGCATCCATAAAATGCTCCAATGCAAAATTCCTGGCACATTTTCCCAAAGCTGGGCAGGGAACAGAGCAAACTTGAAACAGAAACATCCAGGGGGATCTCTTAAAATGAATCCAATGGGATTGGAGTGCCCACGGACTCCCAGGCGGAATATTTGTGTTCCTATGGAATGTGACACGTTTTTCTGCCTTTTTAATAATATTGGATGAAATCATGAAATTGAGTCTTGGGGTGAATTTATGGAGCGATGGGTGAATAACGCTGGAGTTTCCTGGTTTTAATTAAATCCCGTCATTTCTGACACTTCCAGGAGGAATTGCCACTGGAACACTCTTGGAGGGGTGTCAGGAATCCTGTTGGGATTTTCCTGCTCTTTGCTGGAGCCAGGAAATACAATCCCAACAATCCCTCAGCTTTGGGTGGGATTTTGTCTTTCTCCTTTATCCCAACATTTCTTTTTGGACATCAGGTGGAATTTTTTTAATGGAAAGGGTGGAAGTGCCCAGGGAGGTTTGGAGTCCCTATCCCTGGAGATGTCCAAGGAATTTCTGGATGCTGAGGTGGGGATTAGGCACAGCTTGGACTTGCTGATCCCAAAAGGCTTTTCCAACCTCAGGGATTCTGGGAGTCTTAATCCTAACTCCCAGGCACCCCAACAGTGGTGTTAGATCCCTGTTGGAAAAAATTCCTATTTTCACACGTGAAAATAGTGATTCCGCAGATTCCGCTTCCCAGGCAGTGGATATTCCTTATTCTGGGGTGCAGAACTGATGGATAACTTGGGAATGTTCCCCTGGAGAAGGGAAAATTCCAGGGAATGCTCAGAGTGCCTGGAGGGGCTCCAGGCGAGCTGGAGAGGGACTGGGGACAAGGGACAGAGGGACAGGAGCCAGGGAATGGCTCCCACTGGGAAAGGGGAGCTTGGGCTGGGATCTTGGCAAGGAATTCCTGGCTGGAATGGAATTCCCAGATTTTCTGTGGTTGCCCTGGATCCCTGGAGTGCCCAAGGAAAGGTTGGACACTGGGGCTCAGAGCAACCAGTGTGATACTAGCGGATTCCTGGGATACCATGGAATCATCGTTTCCATGTCCATGTTCCATAATAAATCCAGGAGCCATGGATGGCCTGAAGCTGGGACTGGCATTTGATGGTCTCAGGTTGTCCCACTGCCTGTGACAGACCTGGGAGAAGATTGAAGCCATGGTGGATCTGGAAGGGAAGGAATCCTTGGGAATTCCCTGCTGGAAGTGCTGATTCAGTCATCAATCCCGTATTTTTCCATTTTTAAGAGGAAGGCGAAGTTTGGCAGCACCACCACTCAACACTCATTTTTCTCTTCCCCTTGGAGATTCAACCTCGTTGGAATTGTGGGAATTTCTGTTGCTCCTAAGAATCCTGTTTGGGATCCCATGGAGCCATTTCCTAAATTACATTAAATTAAATTAAGTTATTTAAATAAAATTGATTACATTTACTTAAATCATTAAATTAAGGCATAAGTTTTTGCTAACACCTTCCAGACGCATCTTGGGCTTCCCACTGGTTATCCAAGACTTTTCCAGAGCCTGTGCTCCTGCAGATCCACAGCAGGGCACCCCAGGAATTCCAGGATTTCCGGAGCCCAATTCTCCCAATCAATCTTTAATTTTTCCCCGGTTTCTTTCCCTGTGTGATTTTAGGAACACTTCTGGAGCTTGGACAAGACGGAAAACAAGATCCCGCCCCAGCTGATCTTCCAGATCTGGGACAACGACAAGTTCTCCTTCGACGACTATTTGGGTAAGTTGGGAATTTTGGGATCCATCCCAAAAAAGGGAAAACATGACTGGCACAGGTTGTCTGGACAAGCGGTGGGTGCCCCATCCCTGGAAGTGTCCAAAGCCAGGTTGGATTGGGATTGGAGTCACCTGGGACAGTGGAAGGTGGGACTTTAGATTTGGACGGATGGGGCTGCCCAAACTCCATGGGATCAGGGAGAATTCCATCTTTTAAGGATTTTCCTGCTGAGGTGTCTCACCTGGAATGTTCTTCCTTGCAGGTTCCATCCAGATGGATCTCAACAGGATGCCCAAGCCTGCCAAGACGGCAGAAAAGTGTTCCTTGGATCTTGTGGATGATTCCCTGTCCTCCAGCCGCTTTGTGTCCCTCTTTGAGCAGAAAACCGTCAAGGGCTGGTGGCCCTGCGTGGCCGAGCAGAACCAGCAGAAGATCCTGGCGGTAAAGTGACCTCTCCATGTTTTCCCTTGGATCTTTCACTCCAGTTCCCATTCCTTCCCAATCCAAGCTGTTCCAGAATTCCCTGAAATCTTCGTTCAGTTCAAGCCAGGGCAAGAAATTCCACTTCCAACTGGAGATTTTGTGGTTCCAGCTGGACCAGCTGCTGTTGGCTGGAAGTTTTCCGGCAACGTGCAGAGGAATGATCAGTTTTGTGGGATTTTCACCCCGGTTTTTGGAATTTGATACCAAATTTGATTCCGTATCATGACAATTTCCAACAATCTTGTGTCCTAAACACCAGGGAAAAATTCCAGCTGTTCCCAAAGATAGATTTAAATGTGTCTGGGACCCTGTTCCAGGTTTTGGTGGATTGAGGGAATCCAGGAAGGGAATTGGGTCGTTCAACCAAAAAACCCCGAGCTGGTTCCAGGGAAATCAGGAATCAGGGAATTGGGAAAGACTGGATGTGGCAGTCAGTGATGATCAGTCACAGCTTGGACCTGATCCCAGGGGTTTTTCCAGCCTCAGCAATCCTGGGATTCTGTGGTTGCCCAAATTTGGGTGTCAGCGAGATCCGGAATTTCCAGGAATATCTCCAGTGAAGGATGAAGGATTTCTGGGATCCTTGTGATCATTGTTGGTTTTGTTCTGCTCAAAGCATATTTTCTTCCCCTAATCCCTATTTTCCATCCCACGTTCATTCCCCACCTTTCCCTCTGTTTTTTTGGGATAATAAATAAGTTTTTGTTTAACCCATCCAGGGAAAACTGGAGATGACTTTGGAAATCGTGGCAGAACAGGAGCATGAGGAGCGTCCGGCCGGGATGGGACGGGATGAGCCAAACATGAACCCCAGGCTGGAGGATCCCAAGTAAGAACATCCCGAATGGAAAAACAGCCACTAGGGCATGGAATTCTTGAGGACCAAGTGGGAATTCTGGGTTTCCAGCTGGAAAGAACTGGGCTGAACTGGGTTTGCAGCTGCGCAGGATCCACTCTGAACTGGTGGGGACTGGGAGGGAGGTCTGGAGGAGCAGTTCTGTGGAATTGGGAAGTTGGTCTGGACCCTGAATCCAGTGGGATCTGGAAACTGGTCTGGACCATGAATCCAGTGGGGTTTGGAAACTGGTCTGGACCATGAATCCAGTGGGACTGGGAGACTGGTCTGGACCATGAATCCAGTGGGATCTGGAAACTGGTCTGGACCATGAATCCAGTGGGATTGGGAGACTGGTCTGGACCATGAATCCAGCGGGATTGGGAGGCTGGTCTGGACCATGAATCCACTGGGATCTGGAAACTGGTCTGGACCATGAATCCAGTGGGATCTGGAAACTGGTCTGGACCATGAATCCAGTGGGATCTGGAAACTGGTCTGGACCATGAATCCAGTGGGGTTTGGAAACTGGTCTGGATCATGAATCCAGTGGGATCTGGAAACTGGTCTGGACCATGAATCCAGTGGGATCTGGAAACTGGTCTGGACCACCGGTTCAGTGAGATTTGGGAGACAGGTCTGGACCAGCAAGATGGACACTGATAGGACATCCCCAGAGGGATGAGGAGCTGACACATTCCAGTGGGATTGGGAAGCTGGCCTGGATCACCAATCCAGTGGGATTTCGAGGCTGGTCTGGGACCAGCAAAGCGGGTGGGATTGGGGATTCAGGAGGATGAAGTTCTGAGGTGACCTCCTCTCGGTTCCAGGCGTCCCGAGACCTCCTTCCTGTGGTTCACGTCCCCGTACAAGACCCTGAAGTTCATCCTGTGGCGCCGCTACAAGTGGGTGCTGATCCTGGCCATCCTCCTCTTCATCCTGCTGCTTTTCCTGGGAATCTTCGTCTACGCCTTCCCGGTACGGAGCGGTTGGGAGAGGACAGGGATTGGCTGAGATCTGAGGAGTGGTGGATTCAGGGGGATGGGAAATTCCGTGCTGAGGAACACAACAGCTTCAAACGGGACTTTTTTGGGTTTGGGATCCTCATGGGAAAAATATGGAGGGGTTGGAGCATGTTCAGGGATAGGAATGGAGTTGGGAAGGGGCTGGAACACCAGGAAAAGCTGAGGGAAAGGGGCTCATCCTGGAGAAAAGCAGGATCAGAGGGGACCTTCTAGCTCTCCACAATTCCCTGAAAGTTTGGCGCCAGGTGGGATTTGGGATCTGCTCCAAGGGAGCAACAGGACAAGAGGGAAAGGCCTCAGGTTGTTCCAAGGGAATTTCAGGTTGGATATCGAGGAAAATACCTCATGGAAAGTGGTGTCCAGCCCTGGAGCAGTGGTGGAGTTCCCATCCATGGAATTATTCCAGAAACATTCAGATGTCACATTTGAGGACAGGGATAATGATGAATTTAGGGCTCTTTTCCAACCTCAACAATTCCGTGATATCAGGAATGGTGGAGATCCCCCAAAAAAATGGGAAGGTTATTCCTGCGCTGTCCTCAGCGACACAAAGTGCTGGCACTGGGACAGATCCCAAAGTTTTCCAGGATGCAGAAGGAAAAAATTCTGGGATAGCTTTGCCTGTTTGGCAAAAGGCAGGCTTTGCTTTGCCTTTGGCAAAATTCCATGGGGCTGCTGCCTGGATTTGCCCTTGGAATAAATGTGGATGGGGCAGGGCTGGAGGAGCCTCTCCCTGCTGGAAAGCTCTGCATTCCAGAAAATTCCTGGCACAGCTTTGGGAATGCTCCAGGACCCCTTTCCAAAGGGGCAGAACTGGTGATGTGCCTGTAGGAATACACAGCCGGGAGTTGGGTGGTGAATCCATGAGATCTTTGGGAATCCCAGAGGATGGGAAGCAGCAGCAGGATCCAGAGGAGAGGAGGAGGCTCCAGCAAATTAAGGAAAACTGGGAATGCTTCCCACCAGTTGGACGCTGGGATGGGGCTGGAGGGAGGGGCCAAATTTATTCCAAGGGTTTGAAGGGGTGGGAATTTCTCTTAAAAAATTTTGGGAAGAGCAACTAAAATACAGGAATGACTCCTGGTGCTTATCAAAATCTTCCAATGATTCCCTTATTTTTCCAATCATTCCCTCATTCTTCCAGTGCTTCCCTCATTTTTCCAATGATTCCCTTATTTTTCCAATGGTTCCCTCATTCTCCCAATCACTCCCTTATTCTTCCAGTCATTCCCTCATTTTTCCAGCAACTTCCTCATTTTTCCATTAATTTGCTTATTCTTTCAATGATTCTTTTATTTTTCTGATGATTCCCTCATTTTCCCAGTGATTCCCATGTTTTTCCATCCTTCCAGAACTACGCTGCTATGAAACTGGTGAAACCATTCAACTGAAGCTGCTCCCTTGCCTGCCTGGGAACTTTGGGAAGGAATTTTGGAAGTGGAGAAGGAACAACCTCATCCAGGCCTCCAGCTGCTGCCAAAGACTCCGCTTCCCTTTGGAATTCCACCCGGGAAGCGTCACCTAACCAAAGCCTGCACCAAAATATTCCTGGTTTTCCAGCCTTCTGTGTTTTGTTTGAGTTTTCCTGCTGCTCTGGTTGGTAAATCCCAAATTCCAGTAAAAATCTGAGGAGGGAGCGGGAAAAGGACTTTTCCATCCATAAGTTGGGAATGTGCAGAGGATCCTCAGGGCAGGATTTAGGATTTGTCAGCCTGTGCAAATCCCACAGATTCCAAGTACTTTTTGCTCTCTGATCCAGCCTCGGTTTCACTTTTCCCGGTATTATCCCATTTATGTATTGTAAACCTATGGAAAACGTGTTGGAAAACCGGAATGCCTGGGATGACACGTCGCCTTCCTAAAGCTGAAATCATGGGAACGGGAAAGACTGTGGTGAAAAACCTGGGATTTGGAGCTGGTGCTCCACAAAATCCTATTTTCTCTTGGGTGTTGAGGCCTTTGCATTCCATCATGGAATTCCGGAGCTGATTTTCCCTTGGAGCTGCTCCACTATCCCACAGGTCTCCCATTCCAACTGGGAGAGGAATCCTGGGAGCAGCTGGGCTTTGATTTCTTCTCACGCTGTCTCCCAGCCACTTTTGTGGGAATTCTTGGTCTTTTTAGTGTCAGTATTTGCAGAATCCCAGAATCCCTGGGGTTGGAAAGGAACTTCGGGATCAAGTCCAAGTTGTGCCTGATCTCCACTGAGTGCCATATCTGGGAATTCCTTGGAAACCTCCACGGATGGGGATTCCAAAGCTCCCTGGGCACTTCCAAGGCCTGATCACCCTTTCCATGAGGAAATTCCTGCTGGTGTCCAGCCGGAGCCTCTCCTGGGACAACCTGAGGCCGTTCCCTCTTTTCCTGTTGTTCCCTGGGATCAGATCCCAACTCTCACCCGGCTCCAAATCGTCAGGGGGTTGTGCAGAGCCAGAAGGTTCCTCCTGATCCTCCTTTTTTCCAGGCTGAGCCTCACTGATATTCCTTCAAAATCAGCCGTTTTCCCTTTGTATTCCCAAAGATTCTTATGGAAAACATCCCAACCCATACTCGCCTCTGCCAGGCATTAATGGAGCAAAAAACCTGTCCCGGGGCGGGATTTGTTTCCTAAACAAATCCATGATCCACAGCCTGCTCAGCCTCCCACAGATCTGATGGGAATGCTGGGACATTCCCGCTTTTGCTGTTCCCTCCTTCTGTCCCTGGAGCAGGATGATCCCATGGGATGTGGCACTTGGGGAATTGTGATCTTGGTAGGGTTGGACTTGAGCTCAGAGATCTTTCTCACCCCGGAGTGGTTCCGTAATTCCAGGATTCCCGGGGTTTTCCAGTGCTGGGAGGATGTTAATCCTCAGATTCTCATCCCGCAAGGAATCTTCTCCCGTTCTCCCACCAGAAAAATCCCATTAATATCCGGCTGCTCCGACACCTTTGCTGATTTGGGATCTTCCCATCCTCCCTTCAGCAGGATGAGAGTTATCCTTGGTTCCATGTTTTCCTTGGAGCTGTGGCTGCTCCAAACGAGCGAGGAGCCGGGAAAAGTGATCCCGAGGAATCAGTTTCCCGGGAAAAACTGCTGATAGCAGCTCCTGCCCCGCTCTGGCTGGGATTTTAAGCCAGTGCTTAAAAAATTGGGAAAACAGTCCAAACTGCTTTGTTGGATGGGGATATAATCCATGGGGGATTAAATCCCGGGATTCTCTTTGACACATCTCCCGGAATGCACAGGGCATCTCCTTCTCCGTGTTTTCCGCACAGAAAACACACAGCTTTGGGATTTATAGGGATTTATAGGGATTTATAGGGATTTATAACCCCATCCCTGCTGCCGAGCTTTGGCTGATCCATGGCCCCTTCCCAAAAGTTGGAGCGGAGGAATCGGCTCCGGATTTGCACATCCCAGGGCGGAGGTTTCATTTTCTGTCGTTAAACGCTTTGTTTTCCTTCCGTTTTTCCCTAAAAGCTTCCCAACTCCATTTCCACCCCCATCCCTGTTTATAGCCACCATCAAACCACCAGGATTCGCTCCAATTTTCCAGAGGTTTTATTATCCCAAAGGATCTGAGGAGCCGAGGACAAAAGCTGCTTCTGTTTGGCCCTTGCTGGGATTGGGAATTTGGGTTTTATGGGAGTGTTGGTCCTGCTCCTTTCCCACCAGGATCCAGCTGTGCCAGAGGGAATCTGGAATTCTCTGAGCGCTCTCCTGGAATCCACAGTGGGAATTCAGGTCCAATATCTCTTGGGTTTGCAGCGATTCTGGGATTTCCCATCCTGGTGTAATTCCCCGTGATCCCAAACCCAAAATTCTGGAGCCATGAGCCCCAAATGGATGTGTGATCCATGCTGGAATGCCAAATGTGGGATGCTCATCTCCTATCCCATCAGGAGCACCACTGTCTATCCCAGAAAAACAAGGAATGAAAATCCATCCACGGGTTTCCTTTGGAATGTCCAAGGCTGCCTTGGATAAGGATTGGAGCTGCCTGGGATTGTGGAATGCCTGGAATGGGATGGGCTTGAAAGTTTGGGATTCACTCCAGAGACACTTCCAGTGGGAAATCCCATTTTATTCCCAGCATTCCCCTGGCAATCCTGGGTCAGCAGCGATGGGAGGGAAGGATCCAAGGCATCCGATTCCATAAAGACAGGAATTTCCAGAAGGAAATCCATGTTCCCAGTCCAGTTTTCATGCCAAGAAGATCCTGGTGGGTAAATTCAGGTTGGAGCATCTGGAAAAACCGACTCCATCCCATTTTTTTTCCCTGAACAGCCACATCCAGCTCCGGGCCTGGTTGTGTCTCCTCCAAATCCAGGTGGGAGCTGTAGAAAGAATTCCCTGTGGCTTCTGGTTATCCAGGGAATTGGACGGAATTTGTTCCGGATCACCCGTGCCTGCCTTATCCGCAATAATGCCCCAAACACTGTGATTCCCAAAGAAATGCTCTGAAACATTCCTGTTCCCGGTGTTTTGATTGTGGGGATGGAATTGTGGCTCCTCTTTGGAGTGGGAATGGGAAAATCGGGATTGTGGAGCAGGGATGGATCCAGGGAATGCTC